TAGAAAACTCAACCATAACACTAAGAGAACTCAAAAGACGAAAGGATGCACAGATGAGCAGGAAAATTATGTGGATAAATTGCCTACCAATCTCAATCTTCTTGTCCGAAGATAGAGATCACATGTTTTGTAATACAATTTGGTGATCAATGCAGAATAGTCTATGTGTATCTGGAAAGTCCTATTTCGTCTTTTCAAAGATGAATAATGGATATGTGCACCAAATACTATGTGAACATCATGGTTTGACGAATACTTCAATAAAGTGGATCTTTCACAGCATTACAATCCTCTCAATAGCTATCCACAAAAAAAAGTGTAACAGAGTTGTATAATGTTTATAACTATATCAGATTTGCAAAGCTTGGTAGCTAAAAATCATATATATATATATATATATATATATATATGCAGAACAAATGATGAACTTTGACTCAAAAATCCAAGTACAACACTAAACCTCTGAACCATGCTCCATGCGGAATGCCTCTTGAACTCCACCCGGCACTATGATGCAGCTATAGCCAGATGCCAAAAGGGAAAGAAAGTTTCTCCTTGTTGCTGGCGCAAGTCCCAACCATGTCCATATATGCCTCAGGAATGGTGTATAGAAAACCTGGTCCAATTTTTTCATAACTCACACGAGTCATTTCCTACAGCGACTATATAACTAAGTTCACATGAATAATAGGCCTAAGGGTCTTACAGCAGTACTTGCAAGAACCTTGATCTTGGGGAGAGGCATAAAACCTGTAAGGTCAGCAAGTGCAACAACCCCAACTGGCCAAACAGAATGCGGCTCATAGCCAAAAACTGCACAGAAGAACTTCTACTTTTATATCATTTTCATGGAAAGTGCTGGGAGAGGGGATATTTCCCAACAAAACATGCTTCAATAAATGCATGAGGCTGGGAAGATTTGCAGTGGAAAAGAGGATCAAGCGAGATAAAGAAAGAAAGCTAGTGAAATTTGTCTGCCTCGATACCTTAATAGTCATTCTCAGAAACTTGGACCCTCATTGGGTTCATAACTAATGTCTTCCTCTAGCAAAATGCAGTAAATCATTAACGGATGGAAATTTCTTGATTTATAAAGATCAAATGTAAAAGTTATTTTGAATGATTAGAGCATTCCTCATAAATCAAGTCATGATCTGTACTATCTAGAATTGGGTTTCGTCGAAAAGTATCATGGTTTGGTCAAGACTCCCTTACTAAAGACAAGTGTCATTAGCTTTTTTGACTACCCTTCTAGTAAATGTTGCAGAAGATACGGTACTATTTACCACCACCCCATCAATTATGATGATCTTTACAGCGAGCCTGAAAAAAGTTGATCTTGACTTGAAAGGGAAGGCAAATACCGTAAGCCTGATTAGGATCAAAGGCCTTATAGTCCTCCACATACAAACAAACCGGAAAGTAACCGCAAGCATGCTTACATATATACCTGAAAATTTACCAAACAAAAAAAAATGCCACCAATTAAATGAACTCCCAAGTTTGTCTGTCATTATCTGAAATAAAACAAAATTTTTAAAGATTAACCTAGCTAATTTTCGTCCCCAGTTGCTCCTCTCATCAATAGGAAGCACCATAAATATCACCAGCAATCCAATTACCCTGAAATTTTTTTTTTATTACGACAACAATTTCAAACACTTCACAAAGAATATATATTAGAGACACGCATAGAGAGAGAGAACAGAGAGAGCGAGAGAAAAAGACTGACGCGAGGGCTTTGGAGAATGGAAGGAAGATGAAGGAGGCGAAGACGACAAGGGCATTGAAGTGAACCGAGCCAAGCCAAAATATCAGCGCCAGGACCGTATGAAATAATGAGCCTCGAGTTCCCTTGAACTCCAGCGCCGTCGACTGCTCCGGGGGTTGTTTGTGAGCTAACAATTCTCCATTCATCTCCGTCGTAGCCATATGCTGATGATCTTGAGACCGAGAAGTAGAACCAGGACTTCGTTATTATTTATGCAGAACCCGAAACAAAACAGCCAACCGAAAAATGAAAATGAGAAGAGTGCCGTCAAGTTAAGAGATGACAAGGATGGTGTCTGGTGCCTTCCACCATTTGGAAATTTTGTGACTTAGGTTGTGTTTGGATTGCATTTTTCGTCATTTATGAAAAATTACTGTAGCGATTTGATGTATGTGAGGGAAAAAGGTGATAGGGAAATGTGATCACGGAAAACAACGTAATTTTCCGACGGAAAGTTGCAATCCAAGCAAGGCCTTACTTTCGCTTACGTCTCTTATATATACGTCACTACCAAACTATATATTTTTAAAAAAAAAAATCGAAACTTATTAGTACTAGTTTGTAAAGAAATATTTCAAATAATTGCATTGATTGAAGAATTAATACTACACAAAAAAGGGAAAAAAAAAAAAAGAGAACTTGAATTTGTTATTGAAAAGAGAAAAGAAAGACTACTCTTTTTTCTTTCCTTTCATTTTATTTTATTTTTTATTTTTTTTGGGCGGGCTTGAGAATGAGATATGGGGTGATGGATGGCGATGCGAAATGGATGATTGTAGTTTGTTTTTGTTGATTAAGCCAGGCTGTGAAGAGTGGTGGTGTCACATGCCAAAATTTCATTTAAAATACATAAATAAATTCGTGCTCTCCTCTCCCTACTGAAGATTATTAGATATAATAATAAATTATGCAAATGTGATGTGTCTAGGTCCCACTTCTTTTTTTTTCTTTTTATGAAAGGAAAAAGTGACAGTACTACTTTCACGCACTATTATGTTTATGGTATGATTTTTATTTATTAAATTATATGGTAAAAATAAAAAAGATAGTACGTACACAGGTTTTATTAGTACTTCTTGTACACAGGTTTCTCATTTTAGTACTTGAACACGTTTTAATTAATCATCGTCATAAGTCCCAAACAGAAATGAATAAAATAAAATTTGAGGTTTCGTTTTGAAAATGTTCATACAGTCACTGGTAAAACAGCTTTAGAAGCGTTAGCTGAACTAATTCACTCTTCAATGCCTTGCTTACAATTAGAGGTGTCAAAATGGGTGACTTGGGCGGGTTTGGGTTGGGTAAAATGGGTAATGGGTATAAGTGAGTCAACTCATTTATACCCATTTAATTAGATGGGTATAAATGGGTAAGTCAAAAAATGAATTGGGTAACCCAATTACCCATTTATAACTCATTTATTTTAACTTTTTGCAAACTCATTTAAATTCATTTTTGCAAACTAAGTTATCAATTTATACCACTCTTTGTACCCATCATTAGTTTTAAATATTTACTTATAATGTTCAATAAACTTATTTACCAATTTTTTCATTTATACTCTATGTCACAAAATTACCTATTATTTAATAATTGAATAATACGAATATAAAAATTTGAATTAAGTACTATAAAAATTAATCCAAAAATTTTGAACCCCTAACATTTTTTTCATATATAAATTTAAAATTTCATTTTATAAAGACAAGAAAATAGGCTAAAATTTATCATAAATTGGTAATGCTAAAAAATGAGCAAGTTAACAAACTAAGAAAAAAATAAAATAATAAGATAAAACCAACAAATAATAATAATAATAATAATAATAATAATAATAATAATGTTAACATCATGACAAAATGAAAAATTTGAAAAAAAAAAGGGTAGGGGAAAAGAAGAGACTTGGGGGGAAGAGAATTTTAAATGGGTTTGATGGGTTACTCAATAATACCCATTTATTAAATGGGTATTATTGGGTAACCCATTTATACCCATATACAAAAATTTAAGATACCCATACCCATCTATTCATGGGCGGGTATGGGTAAATCTAGTTAAATGGGTTGATTTGCCACCTCTACTTACAATAATATTAGAGTATTTGCTTGCATCAGAGTTACACCTGTAGTATTTTTCATTTCTTTCTCTTTGTTGCTTACAAAGTTTTTTTTTTATTTTTATTTTTTATGTTTTGTTGCTTACAAAGTTGGAGTTAGTATTTGCTTGCATCATTAAACACGTTTGTAATCAAACTTTTTGATTATATCAAGTCATAATCTATACTGCAGTAATTATTCAAAAAATTTGCTATCCAAGCACGCGGTCATAATTTGCGTAACTCTTACTTTCGGTAAGAAAATGTAAGAAAAAAGCACGCGGTCATAATTGCGATGATCCACCGACCACAAGGTCTTGTGGCACTTATCGTCTTTATTAAAAGTAAGATAACAACGTTCGATGGTCCATCAAACCGTAATAAAAGTTGTATTTATTTGGAGTTAGTTGACTGTTGAGATGCCTTTTTGAAGTTGTCTGAAACTCATTGCTAAACATTAGCCGTCCGTTGTCTATGGATCTGATTCTATTGCCTTGATCAAAGAGAAGGATGATTATCAGAGTAACGCTCAGCACAAGCAAAGCTCCAAATTTCAGTCACATTGATATATTTTTATCTCATATGGATTGGTCTAATCTTGGGTGGGTAAAACTTGTTCTTGCATTTCCTGTTTGTCCATGATGTTCAAAATTTCAGGCCTTGTCCAGGGCTTTGTTGTGAGGACTTAGGAGGCACCCATGACCTTGACTACTTCCTGTCTTTCTATAAATGGAGAGATGTAGAAAATATATCTTTGCATTTTATAAAGATGAACTCACGGTTTTCTGAAGTGGTAGCTTGTAAGAAAGGAAGATGTAATATAATAGTTGCGATTTTTAATACTACTATTTGTCAATCAAAGTAGTTGTAGTAGTAGTAAATGACAACCACCCTCTTGTCACGTTCTCCCTTCTTTCATTATGCAGACTTCAGCTATTGCTTATTCTTATCTGATCTGATGATGGGCTCTGATCTCATATCTCTATCGTTTCTCTTCTCCCATGCCACTCGTTTCTTCCTCTCTCTCTCTCTCTCTCTCTCTCTCTCTCGATCAAAGTATCGAGATTGGGGTCATCTTTGTTAGTCAAATGCCTGCATGCTGAGTTCAATATTGCCTCATTTAGGCAAGGTGAACTTACTGGACGCATATCGTTTCTACTCTTCTACCATAAATAGATGATGCACACGAGAAAATGCTGCCAAAGGAAAAGAAATCTAGAACCCTTTTAAATTCATTTCTTGTTATTTGAACAAACAAGCCAAGGAATCGTCCCAATGAACGTCAGTTTTTTGTGAGGTGTAGTTGCATTCAAAAGGTAGCAATGGTTGGTTGTGGATGCAAAGACAACCAACCAAGTCTTGACTTGCATTAATTTTTTTTCAACTGCCTGTGTCGGTTTAAAGAGGTTTAACGTATTCTACGTCATTTAGGTTAGTGTTGTGAAGACAATCTAAGATGAAAAGTTTTCTCCCATTAGCAATTAAGGAACATACGTCGCGAAGAAGAAATTTGCAGTTGATTAAAGGATCGATGCTATGGAGTTTGAACCAACTGAATCTTCTTCACTATGTAACCAATTTTGGCTTTTCACTTTCTTCCTATTGAAAATGATGGGATATTCCAAAGTCATCCATGGAAGGGTTCGGGCTTGCTATGCCATTTCCCAGGAGGGTTGGAATCAGCGTATTGGAGGTATCTTTAGGCAGAGTCAATAACCAGGCACCACCAATGCATTTCCATTTCCACGCCAACATAGTTAAGATGGTTCCTAAGAGATAGGTAAAAACGATTACTACAATGGTGACACTTCACCGGATCCCTCACACTACTTGACAAAGAATTTCGTTAATGATTGTCCAATTTGTTCTTACAGAGAATCCAAACATATAAAGCCCTTGATTCTCTTTGACCTCCCAACAAGGATTATATGGTAGGATAGCTATGTAATGGTAACAAGATGACCTTTCTTTTAAATAGAAGAAGAAGAAGGTTTTAGTACATCTCTTTCCTAGGAAGGTTTTAGACAGAGGCCATATCCACTAGTTGTTCGGGCATGTGCAGAATTTCCTCTTGTAAATTGGCCAACATTACATAAATTTGAACGCTTTCTTCAAGAGTCTAGCGTCTGTGTTTCAGTTCAAATTCGTGAAAATTAATGATTGCTTGAACTTGGCTTTAATTATTTTGGAGAAACAGTGTAGAGTGTATGTACTAATTCAGATTTCCTTATTTTGTAGTTGATAGCTAAGATGCAGAATCATGATGATTTATGAGCTTTATGATCTCCATCAAAAGCCTTAATCAAGCCAAATGTGATGGACATAGATATCCATCCTCCTATTAGAACTCTCATTGCAGATAATCTTATGGGTGAACCGCCAAGAAGGGCTCCAAGTCCCCCAAACAACACCAGAGCAATAGTTGTTACCACCATTATTATCACAATCCTGGTTCTGTGTTGAGATATCGCCACAGCAGCCACTAGGGGAACCACCGATCCGCAAAGAAAAGCCAAGGCTGATGCTGCTGCTGCCTTGTATGGATTAGGCAGGGCCTCCTCTTTGCCATCAACTTGCTCTTGCATCCGTTACCACGACTTTCATCATCGGAGGCCTTGAAGGAGCCAAAATATGGGGCAGACTCTGCATAGATGGAGACAATTTCCCTTGTGATGACTCACTTTCGCTGGCCAGATTTACAAATGGAGATCTGTTTGGTTCTGGCACAGATGGATGAGGAGTTAGAAAATGGATGTTGATATTATCACCAACTTGCAGGTCGCGCAACTCACCATCTGAACAAGTTTTGTGGATTGTTGATTTTTCGATGTCCCTCTGGGTTGTGACAGAAACAAACTCTCCGACAGCCATGCTGCAGGCACCTGCAAGAGCTCCTGCAATCCCCGAAATGATCATGGACTCCTGATCGTCTTTTGCTGCACCTATTCCGAGCATCATGGATGCAGTCGAAAGCAAACCATCATTTGCACCAAGAATGGCTGCTCTAAGCCATTGAGCTCTCTGCATTCCCTGTAGTACTTTTTCTTGTGTAGCTGTTACAGAAAGCTTATTTCCAGAACCAGGTTCAATTGACATAGAAGCAGCTATGTTATGTAGACAAAGGTCAGAAATGGAGCGTGGTTTTCGACTGGAAAGCACACTTCCTAATTCTTTACTTAAAGTCTGCAAGCCACACTCTAATCACGTGGAAGCAATGTGCATGTTGAGAATATATACAAGTAACCCACCCTATCCAATGTCGTCCAAGAAACAGATTCCCTTAGGTGGCACCAGTGAAGGCTCCAAAAATTGAAATGTCAAATTATAACGTCAAAGCCTAAGACAGCTCTGAAGAAGCTCATGCTGTACTTCTACAAGCTTCGTGAGTGCAACTTTGTTAACTTTCTTATTCTAGTTCTCCAAAAATTACAGCAGCTAGAATGAAATGAAAATGTATACTAACACAAATCAATTCTCACTAAAACAGCATCACTCTGACACATAAAATACCTCAAATATACAACTTACCCGAAACTTTAAACAACAATCTTGGGCATGAAATGATCTTGAATTTGAATAGAGATCCACTTTCAGACAAAATACAAGCATATATATTAGGAGAATTGCAGTCCCATAGGGCAATTATCTCACCAACGAGATCATGTCCCCAAGCCGATGGTAGAATTGTTCGTGACATAAACATCTCGTTGCTCATGATATACACTTAACAGTACCATTTTGATTCATAACAAGCCAATCGAAACACTCCGATGATTTCTTCATTCCTCATGACACCAAACTCTCAGATAAGTAAGACAATCTTGACAATAATGGCGATGAGATTACAATTATGACAATAACAATACCAGCAATAACAAGAATCAGTGCTATTATGACGAGTCACAGATAGAATTCAATTGAATATTTTCCCATGACAAACGAATTCTTTCCAACCAATGGAACTTCACCAATGAAACCATTTCAGCTAGTTTACGGGCTCTTCCAAGTAGAAAACTGATTTCATTCTGTGACAAGCAAATAGAACCAGCCTGTAACAGACAAATCATAAATGATGGCCACGTAATAAGTTTAACATGCTCCCAAAGTCATTTTCCCAGCTGTCTCTGGCTCATGTAGCTAAAATCGTTGATCAGTATTAAAATGTTTACCACTGTCTTTTACACGGAAAAGAAAATAACTTCATGCTCCAGCTTGAGACAGCCAGCTAACTATACCATGGGTGACACGCATATAAAACATAGCATCTAAATATATCTTACCAGCACATGCAAGATAAAACCCAATGCATTTTGGCCTTAATACAACCAGTCATATATAACCAACAAGAGTTAAGTGGAAGGCATCCTATATTTGGAAACTACAACTGAATACTATAAGTAACCATCCCTGCGGTCCTGCTCTTCTGCCTCCTTGTTAGCAACTTGAACTGCTTTGAACCAAAGGAATGCCTGGATAAAATACATCTGGTTAATGTTATGCATCTTTTATGAATGAAGATTCAAGGGGAGTTAGTTTCCCCGGATTTGTAGTTCTATTGAACTAATGTCTAGTTTCCTTTAATGTTATGCATCTTTTATAACCAAAAAAAATATCTGGTTAATTAGCAGTAGCAGTTTAAGTAAAGCTTTCACTAGTATACACTCGCAATACAAGAGCATTAAAGATGGTCCAGGATGTTAAAACAGTTTTACTTGTATCTTTAACAATTTGCAGGAAGTGACATTACGCTTTTCGAGGTATTTGATATGCTAGATTCTGACAGAAAAAGAGCCTTAAATCAACAGCAACATTCAAGCAATTTGATGAGGTCAAATTGTAATGAATGCGAAGTCTTCAGAAGCGATATAGAGATCAAGAGCCATCCAAATCATTCTACTTCCTAGCTTGAGAAAGCGCCCCTTTCCTCTTCCCCCTTCTCCGAAAGAGGAAAAACAAACTATAGACAGACAAGAATAACAGCCGTGAATTTTAACAATAAGGGTATTATAGAGCAGCAATATTGAATTGTTCAGCGAGTGCATCTACTTTATCTATACAAGAGAAGTGGTAAGCTTTTAACATGGGAACTGAACTTCCATAAGACCACAAAATCTTTTTCATTTTTTTCCTTTTTCTTTATTTAACTCTCGTGTCATGCATATGAACGCTTTCTATATGAAGTTTGTGCAATGTCAGTGTAGAAAAGCGTAATCCTGACAATGATAATGCATTGTTTATTGACAAATATATCAAATTACTAACGACAAGAGCAGTTGTTGGAAAAGAAAATTGGCTCACCGAAAAGGGGATGCCAGTGAAAGCAAAAAAGCCAAGCAATGGAGCATAGAATACATTATCTGAGTTCAAAACTCCAAATGCAGGCCTTTGATTCGCATACTCAAAAACAGAACCAATCTGCAAAACAAAAGAAAACCAAGCAAAATTCAAAAGGTCTATTATATCAGCATCGACTTCCACAGGGAAAACGAAAGAAAAAAGTCTATAACAAACAAATGTGAATTTTAATTCAAAAAAATGAAGGGCCTTTACCGCAGCAATGGCTGTGACAGCTGAGGCAAGCAAGTAAACAAAGTAGGGAACTTCAAAGCTAGAAGAATCTTGCTGCGGCTCATCACGGGCCCAGGGAGGAGGCTCATCTGAGCCGGGCTTAGCCCAGGAAGGAACTGAAGGGTCATCATCTTCTCCATCATTCTTAGAAGAACCTTCTGTTAAGGCCGAAACTCTCAGCCTACGAGCATTGTTAACTGAAATTTTCTTCTTTGGTCCAGTTTTTAGGATGAATAGTGGTAAACTGAGGGAGCGAGAAAGCGGAAACGAATTGGGATGCCATGGTTTTGGTGAATGAATGAGTGAATTCGAGTTGCAGAGGGATGATGAAGCCGACGTTACCATCAGTTACAAGATTTTCAGGAGAATAAGGTTATGACTTAGTGATCCTACAATTTTCAGAGTGCAGGCCGCAGGGTCGCAACAAGAAGAATGGAGTGGAAGTATAAAAGAGAGAGGGGAAAAAAAGATTTTCTCTTATCTTTTGATTCTTGGATTTTTTTTTCAAGAGGAAATTGGGGAGAATTTTGAGAAGGTACGGTTCAGGTTTATCTACAAAATCCATGTTGTCCATTTCTATTTCACGTTTGGAAAATTATTTTCGCTCTATTGTTTTGGATATTTTTCAAAATCACGACTTCGTTTTCTCTTCTTAACCTGCAAAGCTAACTAATAATTGACATTACACATTTTTTTCCAGCTCTTCTCAGTCATAGCTCCATTTGGCATTTGCTTGGTTTGGTAAGTACTTTGGCGATTTTTAAAGGAAAAAAAAGAGGATAATTCATATGTATGGCATATATCTAGACCCGTAAATAAAGTTGCTAGAAATTCAAGCTGCTCGCTAACTATTTGTGAATAACTAAAATAATGGTTCGACTTGTGTTTGGTCAAAATCAAACTTAAGTGAAGATCAAGTACCTCGTTTGTGAGTTCAAGTCGAGCACGTGACATAGAGAAGGAGGCTCAAGTGTTTGACGTGTTTATTCGAATAATTAAGGTTTGTTTAATTAAAAATAATATGTATGTAAAATTACACTTTTAACTATCGAAGTTGTGAAATTTATCAGTAGAAAATCAAGTTCAAGTTTGAATTCGGCATGAAGGATTCTCAAGCTTACTTGAGTCGAGCTTGATCTCATATACTAGATTATTACTTGCTTGAATCGAGTTGGAGTTTAAAAATCTTTATTTGATTGAACTCGAGTAGCATTGTCGAGTTCAAGTTCAAATGTGGTATCACTCATCTTAATTAACCTCGAATGCATCCCTACACGCAAGTGTATACACTGACAATGCGTAGAAGATTTGCCATTTCTTTAATATAAAACTCCGAAGCTGGAGTAAAGCAATTTTGTTGCAAGAACCCTGCCAAAAACAATAAAAATGCAGTAGACTACAACCATTGGTCACCTTGTTTCATATCATAGTGGGCTTGTGACGCAAAATACAAATGGCAATTGTACATCTAAATAGACATTCAAAATGCCGCAAGGCTTTGGATTGCTCTTCCAGTGACCCAATTTTGCTTTAGTGCCTACGATAGTTGGGCCTGTTGTACTTTAGGCCTCTAGCCCGTGTGATGACACACTGGCCCATCCCAAAATACCATCGAGCGGTGATTTTCCCAGCGGCTTTGTAAATACGCGCACTAATCCGATTCATTATTCATGCTACCGTCTCTAAAATTCATTAGGCTTCTAAAATAAGTAAAATGATTAATTTTTCCTGCGTTCCAATGTAACCATTGGTAGATTTAGATACATACATAGTATATGTAAAATTTAATATTTAAATTAAAATTAAAATTAAAATTATTTATCATACATTCAAATATAACAGTGAATATATGGAAATAACGATTGGGAGGCATAAACCCCACGGGAAGTCGATGGAGTAGAGGATGGGGTAGGACGGAGGGTACCTTCCTCCCCACCCCCCACCCCCCGCGGCTAAAAAACGGGACAATGAACGGGAGAATATACGCCCGCCCATCCCCATTATATGTATATATATTATAATCATATACATAATATATTTTTGTACTGATAGTTATATATTTATAATAATACAAATTATTAATTAGTTATACAAATATGTTTATATTAAATTATTAATTACATTTTTTTATTAATTATAAGTTTTTTCGCCCCCCGTGGGTTCAGGGCAGAGTGAGGGCGAGGCAGGGGAATGTATAGACAACAGGGCGGCGGGGGATAGGGGAATGTGAACTGCATAGGCCTAGCGGCAGCACAAATTCAAAGGCATTGAGATGAATTCCAATGTCCAACATCTTGTTAGCTAAAATAAGGGTAAGCAAACCATTTTAATTAAAACTAACATGCAGATGATTCTTAATTCCATCTCTTCTTCATTACGCTTAATACGTAAAAACATATGCATAATAGATAATTAACCATGGATGCCTTGTAAGGCTTGTGCGTTGAAAACGAAGTGGTGTCATGATGGCAAAGCTCCATAATTAACACCAATTTTCTTCGTGTTAATAATGATAGTAGGATCATTAGCATTCCAGAGTGTGTTTATGCTTTTTTTTTCTAGTGACCATCATAATAATTGTAACCGTTATCTCTCTATTTACCATCATTTCCCTCAACAACATCCACCCCCCCAAAATGCCATGGCCATGAAAGAACGGTATCGGACCTGTTGCAAGAGTCTTTTCTCGCGCCGAAAAGCATGGAATTGTCAACTAACTTTCTTGAAAACCATAAAAGCAGCGGCGTTTTGGTTTCTTCCCTTCAAGATTTTGCCTTCAGGCCCTTAACGGGTTCTTTAGTCAACCAAAGTTCACAGCTTTCGGGGCAACTCTGTCTTGCAATACATTTCTTACAAGTCTTGTTTTGCTTTTCATGATGGTTACTCTGACGGCCAACTCAATTGACAACAACGGATCATTTTTTTTATAAGGTCTCGTATATTTGAATTTTAACGTTGATATGAAAATTGTGTTGATGGATGATCTATAAAAATTTTTATAAGTAACTTATAATTGCAGGAATATGTTTTAATCTACGGTGGTGATCGAAATTCAATTGAACTTTTTCTTCCCAAAAGAAAAAAGGAAGAAAAGGGATCATTATTCTAGCATCGTACGTACCTCTTAAAAATTGTTCATACGGGCTTAGGGTAGACGAAATCTTGAAAATTTTAGATATTGATGCATAGTTGCAAACTTGCAGTATTGAGGGTCTTTTCTTCCTGAGATTTGGGAAGGCGTTCTCATAAAAACTTTTTGCGTTTGAAGGGGGAATTTGAGGGAATATATGTACGTTATGATCCTTCAAAATGTTGTCCGATTAATCAATTATTTTGCACGATTAAAATTATGCAATCCAGATGCCGTAATGGGCCACTTCTGTTAGCGAAGAGTGAAGACAAGCGCATGCAAACCAGTCAGTTAGAAAAAAAAAAAAGGCACGCAGTTCCTGGGGAATGTGGCCGTCCACCATGTCTCCCATTAATTCATAGCCGTTTATATCCTGTCCGTGAATTTCATGTCAGCCTACCCCAAAAGTTCAGCAGGTTGTTTATTAAAGAACTGGTTACGCTTTACAAGTTGTAATAAGTCACCTACGGTTTAACAAATTTTGACGCTTCAATTTTAAATGTAAATTAATTAAACATTGCATAGCATGCACAATCTCTGCAAAGACTAGAAATTCTAGCTAGGCCTTCAGGTAAACTCGTATCATCAATAGACTTGTTTTATTTCTTCGTCTGTTCCAAATTATAATTCACTAATTACGACAAAATTAGCTAATTTTTGTTAATTTGTGTGAAAATCAATAATACTATCAAAGTGGGACGAATGGATGGAGTATTTTTGTTTTGTCGAGACTATAATCAGTGGCATCTATTTAGTTTCTAACGCACTTTAGTGACCTTGCAAGTTAATAAAGTGTGAAAGGAATAAAAGATAGCAGCTAGTTACCGTTGGTTGAAAAGAATGACAAAATGATCAGCAACATGCTGCTTTTCACCAAACGAAATTAGCACCAGCAATCGTCTGCAGAGTTTCTTGTTCTTTAGAAGAAATGTGGGGTGGCAAAAGGCCCTTCGTACATCTCTATCTCGTTGTAAGATTGCGTAAAGCTTCTGGAGTCCAAGAATTTTTGGGGGATGCGCGAGCTTGTTGATAAGATGATTTCTTTCTGTTTTGTGTTATGCACATAGTCTGGTTGTTATACGTACGTTTCTTCGAATTCTGTTGTTTTCTGCTTTTCTCTGGCTTTTAGGCTTTTTCCAGATCATCTTTCATGGAGTTTCACGAGGTCGAAAATGACTGGTTTTTGTCCGTGATATGGAAGAAACAAGAATTATGAGCCAAGACAACTAGCAGCGAATCATGTTTCAGTTTATGAAGGAAGTTCTGGGGTCTGAGTACACGCTGTTCTTTAGCAGATTTTTTGTAAAGCAACGATTTTCTTTTCCCAAATAGTAAATGGATAATTTGTTGGGAATATTCGTCTTTTATTTACTAATACTTTTTGTCGGCCAATGTCATTGTAGTCTTAATGCAAAGAGTCATTATAGCTCGCGTTAAAGCATTTCTCACCATTATCATTTCATCTTCCCCAAAAATGTGTCATTTTCATCTCCGCTAAAGTGTGCACACAAGCAGGAATGAATGAGTATATACGCCATGTGCAATATTTGATAATCAAAATTAAATTGAGATTAGTCGTCGTACGTTTAATACATTATTATGAGTGCTCATAACGAAAAATATTTGTATTGGACGAAATTAGAATTGACGGTCTTATATACTGTAACCGACACGAACAAAGATCTCGAATATAAAGTGAAAGACAATAATGATTTTCATCGCTCTTCAATTTTGGGCTGTCCTTTTTCTCGATGGATGAATAGTTGAGGTACATGAAATGTATAGGCAGATACCATAATCATGAAATGGTAGAGAATCAGCATGGTAATTGAGTGAAATCTATTTGATAAGAGTTGCCTAATCGTTCAATTCATGGTAGCTAGTGCATAATCTATGTAACCACTAAAAGCTTAATTTAACTAATAATAAATGCCATCATTGCCACAATTCAATTGATAACTCGGGCAAACCTTGTAGGGCCGCAGGATCCAGTCAATGGTGTTGATGCAGCCAATATCTGCTGTTGAGGCTCGTGATGAACAACCTGAGTCATCATTCTGTCAAGCTTATAAAGTTAATTAGGGTAGAATTGTTTCTTTAGGCCATAAAGTTAATTCTGCATTAGTGCAGATTTATTGAATGAAATTATTTCTTCTGTTTAAAAAAAAAAAAAAAAAAAACTCCAACTCTTTTGCTTAGATTGTTAGTGATGCTAATTTCAACCTCTATATTTTTTATTCTATATGCAACTAAAACTAAATCAAAACTCGAGGGCTTTTTTTTTTTTTTTTTTAACTTACTAAGAAAAAAAAGAAAAGAAAAGAAAAGTTTGGGACGTTTTATTTGGCTGTTGCAAGCTGCCAGATCCAAGTTAGACCACTCTGG